TTAGGCAATAATTGCACATTTTAACTTTGAAAAACTTACACGAATAAAGTATATTGTAGACACATTTAAATCACAACTATCGCTGCGAGCTCCATTGTAATCAACATTTCAAAATTTATTTATTTACATGGTTCAGATTTCTACTATTTACCTGTGTAGTATAACATTGTATTACATTGTATCTTGTTTATCATTTAATGTTGCCATGTTAGGTGTTGATCTTGCCGCCTCTTTCTATAACCCTTGACATCGTAACTAAGACTAATTACTTGTTGCTATGATAGTGGAATCTTCCACTTTGAATTGAGCCAATCATAGTTATGTATTCTATTTTGACAACATTATGCAAATACTCCTAGCTACCAGATTTTTGGAGGGCAGTAGTTCTGGTTTTGACTTCAATGTAGTCTGACGTGTTGTAATAAAGTGAATCTCACGGAACTCTGACTTTGTCCCATAGAAGTCTATTTTTCTACACAACGCAACCATATCTCATCCACCACATAATTTTGGTGACGAGACCAGGATCGAATGTGGACTTAATTGCGGAACTCACAACATTCTACAGAAAATTGGTAACCTCTACAAGTAAACTCATCAGCAAGTTACAACTTATCGTTTGAACTTTTTTTATTAATATTCTTCAATTAACATTTTCATCTCAATACTTCAACTACTCTCAAACTTCAATATGGCACCTAAAAATGTAGCCAAACCTAAACTTGTGGGATACATCGAAGCAAGAAACAAGGCCAGACTACGCCTTGAATCAGTTCTAATTCCCGCCGAACAAGGTGTCATTCAATACAGTACTGCATCGGCAGCGAACACGATGGCTATTCATACTGACATTCTCACCAACAAATGGGCGATAGATAAACGATCAGAGGAATTCATTGAAACTATCAAAGTGCAGAGGTCGACTCCACACACCAGGAATTTATTAACTCTGACAGAGATGAGGTGGAAATCTACGCGCGAATCAGTCGTATCAACCAGTTTCTCGACGACTGCAAACGAATCGATACAGTCAAATCCACAACCAGTTCTACAGTTCAACCCCGCCCATCGTCCGATCATCACAGAGGAGTACAGCTAGCGAAACTCGAGATTGCTAAATTCTATGGAGACCCTCTGAAATGGTGTGAATTCGATGACAATTTCAAACATACTGTGGACTCTATTCCTAATATCACCGATGTCCAGAAATTCGCATACTTAAAGGCCGCTTTGGATGATGAAGCCAGCACTCAAATACAAGGCTACATTCTATCTGCTGAAAACTACAGAGCTGCTTACAAACAACTTGAATCAAGGTACGGACAGACTAATCAAATAATACAAGCTCACATGCGATCACTTATTGCTAGACAACGTCCCGAAAATACTGCTCAATCACTTCGAGACTATCATGACAATTTGGAAGTAACCGTAAGATCACTCGAATCACTTGGAAAACCTGCTTCAGGATATGAAGACTTCCTAATTCCTCAACTACTTGATAAGCTACCAACAACTGTCGCGTGCCAACCCTACCGAAATATGGACCCTACAAGGACTGAGCGAATTGATGCTGAAAGAAATACGAATTCGGGAACTGGGACAATCTACTACTTTCTGTGAGTTAACCCCCCCCCCAACCCGCTTCTATATCTACCTTCAACACGAACACTCAACGCAAATCATACTACAGAGGAAACACTATTTCACGAAATAATGCATACTCTCGCCAAAACAATAATCATAATACTGCGACATTTCGTTCTTCTGATAACCCTACTGAACAACGACACACTGAAACACGTCAAAGTAGCGATACGCACGCGAGTCGGGCTCAGTCGTGAGCTACTCAGCCGACGGGCGCGTTCCCTACCGCGCGGACTGTGACCGACAAGACCCCTTACTGTGCATACTGCAAGGCAGTGCACTATTCTTCTGATTGTACCGTGTTCGGCACGCGTGCTGCTCGCATCTTCAAAAATAAACGCTGTTTAAATTGTCTTGGCCGACATTTGGTGAGCGCTTGTAATTCACGTTTCACGTGTCGCATTTGTAAACGAAAACACCATACTTCGGTGCACGCTGACAGTCCGAATACTGCCAATATAATGTTCGCTCATGCAGCTCTTGATTCTAAGGGACCTACGTCAAATACGGGTCAAATCGATGACCCAGCGCCACCTCGAAGGGTGCTTTTGAAAACAGCTAAGATAAACGTTACCGTTGACGGTGTATCTCAGCTCGCTACCGTCTTATTCGATGAAGGTAGCGATAGGTCTTTTATTTCTGCTAAGTTCGCTCAAACTTTGAGAGCGAGTCCAAATTATGTCGAAACTCTTAATCTCAAATCTTTTTCGAATCCTCGGACGGGCTTTCGTACCATACCTCGTACCACAGTACATCTCCAACATCGAGATGGTACAAAATCCGCTATTGACTTGCTTATGGTTGACGTGATATCCGAAGGACTTGACAACAACGTCACGTATGATATTCGAAATTTACACCACATCCGACGGTTACCTCTAGCACACCCTCCCTCTACTGACTTGACTATGGATATTGATATTTTGATTGGTGTGGACAGGTACTGGGATTACATCACTGGTGTCGTAAGACAAGGTAATCCAGTTGCCGTGTCTTCACTTTTTGGATATTTATTATCCGGACCAATATATACACATAGACGTCGCACACGCCATAACAATGCACATACATTTCACATCGCGTCAGTGAAATCTACAGACATTGAGATGGATAATCGAATTGCTACCTACTGGGATCTTGAAACTATTGGTATAAAGGATACTATCGCACCTAATATACCAAAACCCTGCTCTGATGAACAATACAAAACTTACACTGAACATTCTCTAACTACGGAAGACGGACGCTACACTGCAAAGTTGCCATGGAAACCTGATCACCCCATTCTACCCACTAACTTTAAACTCGCTGAAATTCGTACACGAAACATGCTAAAGATTTACTGCCTATTGATTTACTTTCCATATATGATGGAATAATTCGCACGACAATATTTCACTACTGCTGTAAATAACGTCGAGCTTCATGTATTCTCTGATGCCTCCATGCGTGCATATTGAGCAACCGCGTATATACTTACGGAAACGGGCGAATCTTGTCTCGTGATGTCAAAATCAAGGGTGGCACCCGTTAAAAACCAATCTTTTACTCTTTCCCCGTCTCGAATTAATGGGAGCAGTTGTGGGGACACGACTAAGTGTGTTCGTCGCCGAATCATTCGATGACAAATACAAAATTACTAAATTTTATTTGTGGTCAGATAACCAAATAATTCTTTATTGGTTACAAAATCGTGGCAATCCAGACTTATTTACGCGTAATCGAGTGTCTGAAATTCTAAAACATAATCAAGAATTTCGATATGTACCCACTGAATCCAATCCGGCATACCTTCGCACCCGTGGATTATCCCCAGAAGATTTAAAACAATCTACTCTATGGTGGACGGGACCAAGCTGGTTGTCTGATTGAGAGAAATGGCCGGAATGTAAACTGTTTGATGCTAAAGATGTATCCGAAAATTCATCGTGCAAATCAGCGAGACATCGTGAAATCGAAGACGCAGGTGTAACCGGAAGTACCGCTGATATTCAAGTCTGTGTGCCCAGAAACGAAAACGTGTATAAAGGACAGGGAAACGCTCGAATCAATCCAATTCAAGTTGTAACCGTGACCGAAACCCCTCATGACGTAAACCCGAGTATTCGTGAAACCGAAATTGACAAAATCAATGACTCTGTCTCCGTGAATCACATTTCCGTGGACAATACTCAAACTGATTGACATCTTGATTCTTCTACTGTGCCGAACACTCCGTCTCCCGAAATTACCCGGACAGATTCGATTGTACCAAACTGTGTCAACACTTTGGAAACTTCGAACCCCAATGAATCCGAATCGACCAGGGAAAATCCTGATATCGCAAATATTAAGTTGACATTTCTAAATTCAACCGTCTGTCCCAACTACTGATCGTCACTGCATACGTACTTCGTTTCACCGAGAAGCTAAATTCGCGCGTAAATCAACGCAGCTCAACATCGCCAGAAACTATATCGCCTTCACCGGAAGAAATAAATAACGCTGAAACGCACTGGGTCAAATCTGTACAACGTAAACATTACGAAGCTGAACTACAGTCGCTACAGCATAAACGAAAAACGATCGAACAATTACAATACCAATTACGATTATATATTGATGACTGCTCTATACTACGTGTCGGAGGAAGACTTCAAAATTATCTCTACCTCCTTGGACAGTACATCCAATTCTACTCAACGGAAATCATCCCTATACCACGCTGATTAAAACTCGTCAGGTGTGTAGTAAAAAGTCCAAGGTGTTATACAAAGACCGTGCTTTTGAAAATTTAGGTCCTAAACTTTTTAATGAATTACCTCTGTCTGTTCGTTCTAGTCCTTCAGTAGACATTTTTAAATCCAGACTGAAAACGCACTTATTTAAATGTGCTTTTAATATTTGACTGATTGTTTATTGTATCAGCGCCTTTGATCTTCATATGTTGGAATTGTTGCGCTTAATTAAATAAAGTTATTATTATTATTATTATTATTATTATTATACGCGACGCTCATACGCGACTACAACATGGTGGGCCCGTTACTACAGCTACAAAAATACGCGAACGATATTGGATCCCTGCGATACGTCGCCATGTAAACAACACGCTTCGACATTGTGTTGTTTGCAGGAAAGTAGACGGTCTCCCATATCCGCGACCAATTCAGACTGCCCTACCGGAATTCAGAGTTAAGGAATCCGCGCCATTCGAATTTTGTGGTGTGGATTTTACCGGACATTTATTTGTTAAAAATCCATACAACGGAACTGTTCTCAAATCGTACGTTTGTTTGTTTACATGTTGTACAACACGTGCGATCCATCTTGAGTTATTGACTGATCTCTCTACTACGTCGTTCCTATTAGCAATGCGTCGCTTTACCGTACGCCGCTCTACACCTCGCTTCATGGTATCTGATAACGGATCAACATTCATTGCAGCAGCAAATGAACTAACTAAATTGATGAACGATCGAACTGTTCAACAACATCTCTCCATCAACAAAATCACATGGCGGTTTAATCCGAAACGCATGCCTTGGGCAGGTGGACTGTTTGAAAGGATGATATCAATAACAAAGAAGTGTATACGCAAGGTATTGGGGAAGGCTAACGCAAGTTTTATTGAATTATCAACTTTATTATCCGAAGTGGAATCTGCAGTAAATGACAGACCTTTGACTTATCTGTCGCCAAGTGTTGATGATTTATCACCCCTGACGCCATCCCATCTCCTAAATGGTCGTCCACTACGAAGTCTGCTTCAAATCAATGCCAGTGACCCTAATCCTAATTTCGAACTGAATAACATTACTGCTAACAATCGAGTGCAGTACCTCTCTACATTGCAGAATGGTTTCCGCAAACGCTGGGTAAATGAATATCTGACTTCCCTTACTGAGCGACACTTGTACGAAATTAAGGGAACCACATCAAATCGTATTTGTGTTGGAGAAATTATTTTGATACACGAAGATGTTACTAAACGTGTGACATGGCAGCTAGCACGAGTTACCCAACTTCTACCTGGAGCTGATGGAATTGTTCGTGTTGTTGAATTAAAAACCAAGCATGGTAAGACTAATCGACCGGTACCTCGCCTATACCCGCTTGAACTGAATGCAGAAACTCCTGAGAACTTACCTGTTCTAATCACTAAAGAAACGGACAATTACTTGCCTGTTGCCACTGACAACGAAATATACTCTTTGAACACAGTAAGACCCTTGAAATCGAAAAGGGCTGCTGCGATACAGGCCGCTGAACGAATTCACTTACTACAAGATGAGAATCTTGTATAATTCTAATTGTAAGCAAAGACTGTAGAATTATCATAAATACGTGTTTCTGTCATTCATTGTATACAATTGATATAACTCTATATAGACCACAAGATCACATTAATGACACTGACTCTAGTCGAAGAATCATATGTTATGAACATTGATCTAATATCAAGAACTCATAAATCGATATTAAATACCATATTGATGTGTGTATACATGTACCCTCTTTTATACTGTTGTTATGACAACCTTGATATATGCCGTGTTGAGAAGGGTGAGTAATAGCACCCTCAGTTCGCTTGATTTTTTTGAAGAAAAAAAAAATTCTAACTTGATGATTCATATGTTAAATTTTCAAAGTTGATTGACTTGTTTATGAGACCTTTCGCTGCCGTTGGGAGTATATCGCTGAGAGCTCCATTGTAATCAACATTTCAAAATTTATTTATTTACATGGATTAGATTTCTACTGTTTACTTGTGTAGTATAACATTGTATCTTGTTTATCATTTAATGTTGCCATATTAGGTGTTGATCTTGCCGCCTCTTTCTCTAACCCTTGACTCGTAACTAAAACTAATTACTTGTTGCTAAGATAGTGGAATCTTCCACTTTGAATTGAGCCAATCATAGTTATGTATTCTATTTTGACAACATTATGCAAATACTCCTAGCTACCAGATTTTTGGAGGCAGTAGTTCTGGTTTTGACTTCAATGTAGTCTGACGTGTTGTAATAAAGTGAATCTCACGGAACTCTGACTTTGTCCCATAGAAGTCTATTTTTCTACACAACGCAACCCTATCTCATCCACCACAACAACCACGACCAAATATTCTGGGTTGGAACACATTCGAAGGGTTTCCTCTGTACTTCAACGGCCATCACAGGCCATTGGATTCGTCGTCAGTTGACAAGTCTCGCTGGTATGGATATGATATATGCAGTATTCAAATGTGATCACGTGCTCATGAAACACGTATTGAGTAAAAACAAAATCGGAACATCGTGTAATAATAAAACGATATTTTCATGGAGGTCACTTGACAAACATTATTACTTGACTATATGGTATATATAACGAACGGACATTATTTAATATAGAAACAGTGATGCATTCACACATACAATTAAACGATCACATGATACATTAATTTTACATGATGCACAAACACACACAATCAAATATGATCGACGATACACGCAATGAAAAGGTTCGATCGTAAACACGTATAACCCGAAGATTACTCTACGATTCTGTACACACCAACGCATTCTTATTATTCTTCCTCACAGTATTAAGCATCCTTTTCTTTGCAAACATTTATACAAAATTATGAATATCTTTAAAGATAAATCGATATGTAATACAGTAAATGTCTGACAACCTTTATTACATCACGTGTTGAATAATTCATGCCACGGTTTATCTTTAACAAAGACGAAGACGATATATAT